TCTTATTCAAACGTTGGCCGCTGATAGGTAAAGCTCAATATCATAGAGCCTTTACCTATCAACAGTCTTTCGAAATAGATCCTCGATATGAAGACCCATCAATTGTTTTTTACCTAAAAAAGGTTCTTGTGCTCAATCCATTGCTTTCCTGTGACTTTTCCCAAAATAATGATTCTTAGATACGGCTATTTACATTTTCATTAGAATTCGTTAATTATTATACACAATTCAAATGTTTCCTACCTGCTTAGATGTGGCCAGGTTTTTTAAGCGTGGGTTCCAGTGCTGAAAATCGCGCTCTTTCCCCTATATACTTTCTAAATTTCCAACAATGATATTTTCATATTTAAAAATGAGTTGTCTTGAAAATAGTACATTGTTTACCGGGTAGGAAAAGCTTAACATTCCTGGACGACTGCGAAGATTGCTAAGTCGAGGCGCAAGCCGAGACTTAGCAACACAGAGTCCAGGAATGTGGCTTTTCCTACGAGGTAAACATACTATTTTTCCGCAAATCGTTTAAAATTCGACAGATATTGATTGATTTAAAAAAAAACGCGATAATTTTATTCCCAAATAAATAGTGCTTTGAAATTCCTAATAAAATTACTTGGGTTACTATGGAAACGTATTGAGGTTGAATTGTCAAACTTGACGCTTATAAATTTAATTGCTGGTGTTCTCGAAAGTAAAATGATAAGTGATGATGAAATTTCCATTCCTGGGACTCCTCCAGAGCTGGTTGAGGCAGTGAATACTGCTTCATTAGAATTATTGCCAAAGAAATCAAGAGAAAAGTACGAAAATGCATACAGACGTTTTATGGATTATCGCATGAGTAAAAATACGAGTTCTTTCTCAGAAAATGTTGTAATGGCATACTTCCTAGACCTTTGTTTAAAGATGAAATCTTCAACATTATGGGCCAATTATTCAATGCTGAAGTCAACCCTTGCACTTAAACACAATGTAGATATATCTACATACTCAAAACTTCGTTCTTTATTGAAACGGCAAGCTCAAGGTTATAGGGCAAAGAAATCTAAGATTTTAACGAAGGAAGAAATTGAAAAATTTATCCAGGAAGCTCCAGATAAAGAAAATTTAATGATTAAGGTAATTTACAAGGTTTTAATTTCTATTTAGATTATAGCTTTATTTATTTTTTAGGTGGCTGTAATATTTGGTATTTCTGGGGCCTGTAGAATGGATGAGTTAGTCCGAATGACTGTACACGATATAGAAGACTTAGAATCTAAGCTTTTAATCAGCATACCTGATTCGAAAACCAACAAACCAAGATCATTTGTAATTAATCAGATCTACTTGAATGTTTATCGAAAGTATGTTTCGTTAAGACCAGAAAATATGAACAGTGACCGATTTTTCTTTAAATATCAAAGCGGAAAGGGTTGTAGACAAGTGGTAGGAATTCATCAATTTAGAAAAATGCCCAAAATAATTGCTACTTATTTGAACTTGGTAAATCCGACAGAATATACTGGTCACTGCTTTCGTCGGTCTTCTGCAACAATATTGGTTGACTCTGGTGCCGACATAACTAGTTTAAAGAGGCATGGCGGATGGAAGTCATCAAACGTTGCTGAAGGATATATCGAAGAATCGCTTAACAATAAGGTTGAGGTGGCAAATAAAATTTTCACAGTACAAAATATTCAACAAAATGACACTTCCACCCTGCATGTTGTCCAAAATGTTTCTCATAGTTCTAAGAGTGTTCCTCCAATGTTCAATAATTGTACTAACTGTCAAATTACTGTAAATATAACAAATTGATCTTAAAAATGTATTCAGCAATGACGATGTTTTCAAAATATAAATTAATTCCTTATAAGCAATGTGTTTTCTATCATTTATGTAGAACACTAACAACTGTACGGAAATATCATTTCCTTACAGTAAGGAAATGACATTTCCTTACAGTAAGGAAGTTCTGACTTTTTCTTCAAGAAATTTTGACAGGAATGTCAAAATTTCCTGGCGATTTGCGGAAAACGTTTGTTTTTATATTAAATTATTTCGTGATCATAAGAAAAATATGGATGGTCACAGCCACATATAAAAAAAAACATTAAACTCAGATTGACACCAAAAATTTATTATAATATCAGATTACAATACCATTCGTCTTGCAGCTAAACAGTCTTACAGCATTGTCGATCGAAGTACCGATTTTGTTATGCTCAGCTTAAAAAAAGTTATCTCACAAGTACAATGTGTTACAGAAATTGTGACAAATTTTACCATTAGTTGGTCAAATACTGGAAACATCGATTTTGTATTATGCTGAGACATAAAAATGAGCCAATCGAAAGCTTTCGAAGGTGGAAAATTTGTACTTTTTCTTGTTTTTGAAAGTTTAATTTCAGCTTCTAATTCTAAAGAATTTAAACCCGAATGTTGTGAGGTATTTTAAATACGATATAATTTTGCCTACTAAATAAGTAATTTTTTTTATTCTTGGTCAAATTTATCGTTTAATGGCTAAATCATTCGGTCTAAAAGCGAAATAAAATACAAAGAATTCCTTTTTACTGTTGACTATACAATAATTTACAGCATTATTATCCAATCTAAAATAGTAACCCTCAAAACTCTTGTATTCTATTCTGCTTTAACCTTTATACCTGGTGGTCATACTCAATTTAAAATTGTTTTCCTATATACTTCTGTAAACTTGTTGACAAATATCTATATTTCATTTAGTCACCCGTATCAACAGTTTAGGGATTTGCATACATAATGTGCTATCAATATGATGGAAATGGACTATAGCACATTTTTCTCCAATGGAACATTCAATTTTGCTCACACTGATTAAATTTCAAGAAATTCTTACACTAATAGTTTAAAAAGTAAAGTTTTGTAAAATCATAATATGATACGCCTTAGTACGACCCAGTTTGGCTTTCACCTGCGTTTGTTTACAGTTGGGAATTTGTAAAATGAATGTAGTTTAGTAGAAACTTTTCTCGGAGCAATGTCAATTTGAAGCTTAACACAAATTTTTTTTACTTTAGAATAAATATTATCAATTACAGATGGTTAGATTCTTAATTCTTCCAAAGCAAGAGCAAATTTGAAACTTCTTCTATAGCTAAACAAATATCTATGTTTGGTAATTGAAGTAGTTTGCTAACTTGCATTTACAGAATTGAATTGATTATTTTGAAACACATAATAAAATCAAAGGATTTTATTTGATATAGTATCTCTTTCGGGTGATGAAGAACAATAAATTCCAGGTGAAGACAGGGTAATGACCGAAAGCCTAAAACTAGGAGGAAATATGTTCTTACTGACACTTGCTAAACTGTTCAATAAATGTCTGTGCGAAGCGATAACACCGACGCAGTGGAACAACGCGGAAATCATCTTACTTCATAAGAAGGGAGATATCAGCGACCTTAGAAACTACCGTCCCTTAGCTTGTTGTCACAAGTATATAAGCTATTTACAAGAGTCATTACCAACAGGCTAGGAAGTAAGTTGGATTTCTATCAGCCAAGAGAGCAAGCAGATTTTAGAGCAGGATATGGCACGAATGATCATTTACAGGTAATTAAGTAGGTACTTAATAGAAAAAAGTGTTGAATATAACAAGCCATTAGTCATGATATTTGTTGACTACGAAAAAGCTTTCGACACAATAAGTCATCAAAAGATGTTAAAAGCCTTAACAGAGTGCCGTATAGATCATCGCTATATAAACATGATAAAATACATTTATCAAAATGGGACAGCAAGCGTGAAACTGGCAGATAAAAAGACCAACGTATTTAAAATAAAACGGGGGAGTGCGACAGGGAGACACAATTTGCCAAAATTGTTTACAACATTATTAGAGCATATGTTTAAGAACGCAAATCTGAGTGAAAAAATAATTAATGTCAATGGAGAAATGCTTAGTCATCTGAGGTGTGCTGACGATATTGTCCTTTTTGCTGACAGAATCGATGATGCAGTATCGCAACTGGAGAAACTATACCTAGCCTCCCTACAAGTTGGATTAAAAATCAACCACACAAAAACACAAATCATGACAAATCTTGTGTTAAACGAAAAGATTTCAGTAAATGGCATGCATATTGAAGAAACCACCTCTTATAAGTACTTAGGACATAAGATACGCATAGGAAGAGATAATAAAACGTGCGAACTAAGCCGCCGCATAGGACTCACTTGGGTGGCATTCGGCAAGCTAGAGCTATGTTCTTAAATCAGAACTGCCTATGTGTCTTAAAAGAAAAGTCTTTAATCAGTGCGTGTTGCCAGTACTTACATATGGTGCAGAGACATTAACACTAACCAAGAAAGTAAGAAATAAAGTTTGTGTTACCCAAAGAGCCATGAAACGATCGATGTTAGGCATTTCTCGCAGGGATCGGATCACGAACAAGGAAATAAGACGGAGAACAGGAGTGACAGATGCCATAGAAAGAATTATGATCCTTAAGTGGAACTGGGCGGGGCACATAGCTAGAATGTCGGATAACAGATGGACACAGCGAATAATACAGTGGAGACCGTGACAAGAAGCACATCGAAGTAGAGGTCATCCACCAACAAGATGGTCTGATGACATAAAACGGATCGACAAAAATTGGATGCAAACAGCACAAAACAGAAATACATGGAAAAGACTGAGGGAGACCTATGTCCAGCAATGGATAGATCCAGGTTAAATGATGATGATGATGAGTATCTCTTTACCGTTGGCTCTAGCTTTTGCAACAGTTGGATCATCAACTGTCTCTTCAATGGCTTCTATAATTGCTTCAAGCTAATTTTTAACTGCCTACAATATAAGAATAAACCAATAATTGTGTTAAGCAAAAAATCGAAAATCTTTGGATTTGCAATATGATTTCTTTGATCACTTTGCATCTTTTCTGTACAGCAGTAAAGTCAGCTGACATCGCTGAAGCTTCGTAAAAGCATACAGCTTCAATGTCTTCCCAGCAAACATTCATATCATGTCAAGTAGAATTTATTGGTTTAGAAATGCTTTCTGTATCAGTTAAATTTAAACGTTTGAATGCTATCAGCCTTACACCTAGAAAAGTACTACCTTTAGGGATACATCTAAAAATAATAGCAATCTGCTCGTGGTGAGTGACATCAGAAGTTTTACCGTCTGCAATCACACAAAGAGGTTTCCCTTTCACTTCCTTCTGAACATCCCTTACATTTTTGACAGAACGTAAAATATCATTTTGATTGTAGTTGTTAAGATCAGTGCAGTTTTTCAAGACCGATTCCAAGCATACCTTAAATGTAAGGTCATATTTTTTAAGAAGTTGTACAATTTCCAGAAACAATCCTTTTCCATTGCTTTCTTTCGTTTCATCATGACCACAAAGAGGTTTTCCACCTTTTACTAGAACTATAATTATATCAAGTAGTTTCTTAGGCTTAGTTCATCAACCACACTAATAAAATTCTGAAGATCTTGGAAGTTTTCAGCCACTATACTTAACAGTTTACCGCTCAGGGAAATCTTAAATATTTCTTTGTATTATGTAGGTCTGTGTATGTATAGGATACTAAATATTGTGAGCGTATATTCGTCACCCTTCGTATACATGACGTCGTCGATTCTTTTTTAACATAATGACATTATAACGTGAACCATTAGAACATATAATGATTATAACACCTTTACTTTAATGTTATTGGTTTCCAAATTGGAGACAAATGTTATATCAAACATTTTTAATTAAAAAATAGGCACTGTACTAATAAGTATGACAGTTTTTTATTATTATCCTTCTGTTTTTGACATTAATTATTACGTTTTTTATGAAGACGGCAGATCGGTGTGTTACCTTTAATAGTTGGGAAGGAAAAGTCACATAAATTTTGATGGATTAACCTGGTACAGTTTTTTAAAAATACCTACCCTCAGAGGAAAAAAATGTTCAAATAGAACTCGTCCTATCTGGACCCTGAACTTCCGGTCGCTTAAGTACGTGGAGATGAGCTTTGTCATGATCAAGCTGTGTCCAAAATCTCTTATTTTTTATGTCAATCTTTCATGTGACACTCGGTTAAAGGCTTTTCCTACATCTAGGAAGACTCCTCTTGTATTTTTGCCTGTCATTGAATTCAGCTGCTATGTAAGTATGACTACTTGTAGTTCGCTGGAATGTTGAGTTGTGAATCCGAATTGTAATTTTAGGATTAATCCTAACCTGTCTGTCACTTGATTGGAGTCGGGTTTAGATCACTCGCTTTACTATTTTGCTGACTGCTGGAAGTACGTGATTACATGGGTTTCCTTCCATCGGTTTGGGAAGAGCATATATTTTAGTATTACGTTTTTTATGTTTGTTAAATCTACAATATTGCTTTCGAAGGAGTATACTTCAGAGCCTTGTTAGTGATTTTGTCTGCCCCAGGTGCTTTCTGTAATTTGTATTTCTCTGATCAACTTCATTTTGATCAGATTTTTTGAGATTTCAAATATAAAAATGTTACGGATACAAGAGAAGCTTTGATGAGTGGTACAACAAGAGTTAAAGGGATATAAGCAAAACCATAGTAGATTTTATAGCAAAACCATATAGATTTCGAAAAGGCCTTTGACAAAGTACAACATGAACCACTAAGACAAGTTCTAATAAAGAAAAATATAGACAGCCGAGATATTCGAATTATATGCAATCTATATTGGAATCAAATAGCAAATGTCAAGGTTGAGGGCAGGACTAACAGAAGAAATTCAAATCCGTCGAGGAGTCCGGCAGGGATGTATCTTATCGACACTTTTACTTAATCTGTATAGTGAAGCTATCTGTGAAAAAGCACTCGAGGAAGAAGATCTTGGTCTGATAATAAATGGTGAGACGATCAACAACATAAGGTATGCTGACGATACAGTTCTCCTAACGGGAACGCCAGTAGAACTACAACATCTCGTTCAAAGTCTCAATATATACTGTAACGGTTACGGCTTGAAAATTAATTTGAAAAAAACTAAATTTATGGTAATCACGAAATCAAAGAACATCAGAGCTAATCTTGTAATAGACAATACAACGATTGAGCGTGTGCCCTGTTATAAATATCTAGGTGCTTGGATCACAGACGATACTGATCAAACAAAAGAGATTAGATGTAGAATAGAAATCGCTAGATCAGTCTTTAATAGAATGCGCAAACTCTTTTGCAATCGTGATATCAATATAAAGTTACGAATACGAATGCTGCGGTGTTATGTCTTTCTATTTTCTACCCTGTTATATGGAGTTGAGGCTTGGACACTAAAACAGTTGACCATAAAAAACATCGAAGCTTTCGAGATGTGGTGCTATAGGCGCATTCTCAGAATATCATGGATGGACCGCATCACTAACACGCAAGTACTCCAAACTCTAGACAAAAGATGCGAAATTCTAAATGAGATAAAAAACTAAAAAGATGGAATACTTGGGGCACATTGTAAGAGGTGAAAAGTACGAAACTTTTAAGAAACATCATGCAGGGCAAAAGAAGTGTGGGAAGAAGAAAAATATCGTGGCTTCGTAATCTACGTGAATGGTTCGGGTGTAGTTCGATTGAACTTTTTAGGCGCGCTGCTAACAAAGTCGCAGTGGCCATGATGATTTCCAATCTCCGCTAGGTGTGGCACGAGAAGAAGAAGATAGTAGATTTATTAAAGATAAAAGCAAACAAGTCGAAAGTCGAGAGATAAACATTATTTCTCATACATTTTGGAACTAAAACTGCAAAAGTACAATTTGATAACAGGAATCATCAAAATATAAAAAGAGGTTCACCAGGATTACGTACCACGCGCTTCTTTTTAAAAGAAAGATTTCAGATTTAATATAAGGTGTAATATGTGAATGCAGTAGAAGAGAATCTTCTTAAATTAATTAGGTATGATTACAAAAAAGAAGTTAATTGCCTCGAAACTCTTGTGATTTAAGCACAAATTAAACTACAGTGAGCCCCAAACAATACATCATTCTTCCAAAATATTTCATACAAACATATAAATAGTATCGTTCAGACACAACACTAAAACAAGACCAGACGTACAATGAAAAGCTAATAATATGATTGGCAGCTCATTATAAATATAAATAAGCTGCAGGGCAAACGTAACAACTTGTTATGTGGATATAACCTTCAGAACAGCAGAATATATGCAAAATACCATTTGACAGGGAAATTATTAAGTATGCCAACACGTATGTTTTATTTAATAAAATTTATTGGACTGGATTGAAAGAAGTTTTTATGCAAGTAATCGTTGTAAAATATATTTTATGCTACAGAGTGTGTAAAACTTACTTGATGGTAATAGCATTATATAGAGCAGAACACAGAACGATTAAATTATTTAAAAAGTGCGTATATCTGACATCTCACTTATCTCAATGTAATTTAACATATACATTTATACGATTTAATGATAATTAACCACAATTTTAATAGAAAATACCTTTTTTTATGTTTTTCTTTCCACTTCGGAAATCTTCAATAAAGTGGAAATAAAAACTTTAATATAAACGTTTTTTTAACCAAAATTATGGCAATTTCTTTTAAAGATAAAAATATTGGCCACATTTTCAATTCAGTTACCATGATCTATTTTCCCGGACCCTCTTTACAGACCACACTTCTGTCATTTGAAGGTAACGTGGCTGAAAACTTTTAGCGATTCATCTGAAATTTACCTCTTGGCCAGTGACAAGGCCGAAAAGGAGGACAGTAAAAATTGCTCTACTGTTATATTATTTGGGAGATGAAGGACTTGATGTGTTTAACACCTTAAAGTTAACGGATACACATAGAAAATCGTATGATGCAGTATTGGGTGAATTAGAGAATTACTTCAGCCCTAAAAAGAATGTGATCTACGAGAGATTCTTGTTCTACCATAGAAAACAAGAGGAAGCAGAGTCTGCTATGAAACCAGGTTTAGCCAGATTGAAAAGGAACTAAATGGAATCCTATCTTCTTTTACTAAGTTTTATAATTATATTTATGGTCGAGTACCTTTGAGCACAAGAATATAGATGAACTAGCTGAGAAAATAACTAAAGACATACAAACAGTCACTAAGAAACTGTGTTGCAGAATAAGAAAACAAAAAGAAGCTAAACTAAAACCCGAGACTCTAGAACAGATAGAGAAAAGAAGAAGAACGAACAGAGATAACCCGGACTACAAAGCGCTCAACAAAAGCGTTAAGAAAAATATTCGAAAAGATCTCAGAGCTTATAGAACAAACCAGATTCTTGAAACCATAGAGAACAATAAGAACATGAAAGTACTGAAAACATGTAAATCTATTGCCAGCAATAAAATCATAAAGATAAAAGACGATCATGAAACATTGTGCTGCGCATAAGGAAGAGATCGTTAGAGAAATCCGAAAATTTTATGAGAAGCTATATACTTCTACTATTCCGAACCCTGGTATACCAACAAAATATATCTTAAATGTGGGCTCAGAGGATCTCTCTGAAATAATAACATCAGAAATTAGAGCCGCCCTAAAACAAATGAAAAATGGGAAAACACCAGAAGATAAAATTACTTCGGAGATGCTAAAAATGGGAGGCACTGCATTAGAAGAGCCAATGCGAGCATTACTGAATAAATGCCTATTGGAAGGACAAATACCAAAGACATGGAAAAATGCGGAAGTCATTTCTACTCCATAAAAAAGGGGACGCCGCAAATATAGAAAACTATCGACCAATAAGCTTATTGTCACACCTTTACAAACTACTAACCCGAATAATAACAAATAGATTGACAGCTAAACTAGATGCATACCAACCAGTGGAGCAAGCAGGCTTTCGTAAGGGTTTTAGCACTATCGATCACTTGCAAACAATCCGGATGGTTATTGAAAAAACAATAGAGTACAACATTCCACTACATCTGGCATTTGTCGATTATCACAAAGCATTCGAAAGTATCGAGAAATGGGCTTTCTTAACAGCATTGGACGAAGCCAGAGTAGATTCAAGATATGCTGCCCTCCTTAAGAATATATACGATGATGCTACTTTTCACGTAAAATAGATGATGATCTGGAAACTATGAAAATAGACCTTGGCAAAGGTGTGAGACAGGCGACACCATCTCACCCAAATTATTTACTTTGGCATTAGAAAATGTTTTCAAAAAACTAAATTGGGCCGAAAAGGGATTAAAAGTAGATGGAGTATATCTTAACCATTTGCGTTTCGCAGACGACATAGTACTAATAAGCACAGATATCCATAAACTGAAATCAATGCTACAATATTTAAATCACAAATCGAATAAAATAGGAATTAAAAATAAATCTCGACAAAACAAAGAATATTAAGAAGGACACAATTGTCAATGGGCTGCTTTTGGTAAGTTGAGCTT